GGCAACTCTTCGTGAACTTGAGTCGGGTTATGCTCGGGCCTTGGAGACTTTAGAGGCACACTCTACTGTTTGTCCTCCAGATGTAGATATGACGGGCAGCTTCTTCGAGGGTGTCTTTAGGAGAGATTGAATTTTTTTTTCATTACTTTTTTGCCCCTTTCGATAAAAATGTTTTTTCTAGGACAATGCAATGAAATGACAAAATTTTTGTTGTTTGGATATTTTCGCATTGTTTTCTCATTCTACTTGATAAAATATTTATTTCGAATGATAGAACAATCATATGCACATGTTTATAAAAGCTGAAATATTCTCATTAGTTCTTCAACTTTCTTGACAAAAGTATAATAGATTCACTGTAAGTGATGGGATCAAACATACACCATAGAGAAAACCAGCTTCTTCATAACGTAAGGGAAATACAACTTTTAGACAAAGTAAGAAAGTGAAAATGAATTTCAACATAGATGAGTCCAACTATGGGTAGTAATGCTTGATAAACTTTGCATTGAGCGGGCCAGTTCGGAAGCCGTCTTCAACCCTTACAAGTTTGTAGTCCACAAGTTTATTACATATTAATATTATAATATGTAAGCTATTTAAATAGTTCGTTTAGAAACAGGTTAATTTAGTAATTTTTTGGTTATTTGGTTAAAATATGAGCTAAAAAAATTAGTATGTTTTGAATGATTTTTTGGCTTTTTACGAAAAGATGTGCAAAAAGTAAAGAGAAAAGAGAATTTTTGACCTTTTGGTATGAGTTGTTGACTTTTTGGCTAATTTAGTAATTTTTTAACCTTTTAACTAAAAAAGAAGGTTCCCAAACGAGACCTAAGTGTATTATTAATAAAATCTAAAATTTTAAATTCAAATCTTACTTACATTGTAGTATAATAATTTTTTATTTTAATATATAAAAATTGTAAAAACTACCACGTAGAATGACGTGATGTCATGGACACGGGTCTATCTTTCGCTTAATAATAGTTTGGTGTTGTTTGGGGTGTTTTAAATAAGTGTATTTTTTATTTTTTTGGATTAAAAAATTGAGGTTGAAAATATGAATGTTTGGGTTAACTTTTTGATTTTTTATAAAAAAAAATGTGTAATAAAAAATTATAAAAATTGATTTATAAGAAAAAATTCGATTTATAATGATGTAGTATGATACATGTTAACTTTTAATTTGTCATATACACAATTAAATAGGCATGTTCTACTCGATATTTTTTAAAAAATGAATGGTTTGAATTATCGAAATGTAATCCAAAAAAGGGTCTATTGGCCGCGCAACAGTGGCTATTACGTCCAAAATATTAGTCTATTTTCAAAAATTAAGGACAAAAATAACATGAATTTTTTATTTTGTCATTCTTTTAAATTCATTAATTAATAATTTTGAAGTGTAATAATTATACTATTAAAGGATAATTTCAAAAAATTAATATTTTTTGATATGTAATAATTATATTATCAAAAAAAAAAATTTAAAATCCTTAGACTAATATTTTAAAAGGGGTGGAATATTTGATTTATGTGTTTGTAAGCATTTGTTAGTATATTTAAAGTGTACAAGTGGGGTTTTCGGCTTGAAAATTATTAGAGATCTTAAATATTTTATTAAATGCTCTATTAAATATTTTAGATGAGTATAAAATTTACATCATATATAGATCCAATATAAGTCCCACATTTATGTAAATTATTTGATAAAACATTAGCATCTCTACCGTTACTCTTTTGGTTTTTCTCCTCATTTTGCTTACCAATTTTCAAAGCATGGGGAAAAGTGATACAGCTGGAAACCCAGCTCACTGTTTATAGACAAAATACAAGTCCTTTGTGCAAAGCTTTTTATACCCATGCAATGTGGTTTGGGTACTTGGTTAGTTTTTTGACTTTTTAATTTTTTTTGATTATTTTAGTGTGGGTTAAAAAGTTTAGTTTAGGAATGATTTTTTAGTTTTTTTAATTTTTTTTATGAAAAAAGAATGTAATGATTATGAGTTGAATGTGATGTTTTATTTGTTGTGGTTAAAATAACATATTTTGTCTTTTAGAACTTAAATAGCCCCAAACCTATCCAAACCCATTTGCCAAACCATGCCATAGAATAGTTATGATCAATTAATATGTTAATAGATAATATGATATAATTTTAAATATTTATAATTTATATATAAGTAAAATTAATAATAATATTATAACACTAATTAATATATTAATGGAGACATGTAACATTACTATAAAACAAAACCCAACTCACTCTCTAATAATAAGTTTGTCCGTGTCTTTTAGCCCACAGACACTGATCTAAAAACCCCTTTTATCACACAAATGTGTGGAGCAGGGAGAGAGAAATCAATGGCTTCTTCTTCTTCTGACCACCATAGCACTCAAATGGATGACTCTGGAATTGATCAATCCCAACACCACAACAAACCCCCTCCTTCTTCTCTCCATGGAAGAAGATCAAGAACTCCTCTCAACAGATATGCTCTGGCTTGTGCTCTCTTGGCTTCAACCAATTCCATTCTCTTGGGTTATGGTATGTCCAATTTCAATCTCTTTTTACTCTCATTTTTCTAAATTTCACATCAACCCATGTCACCAAATTACTTATAAGTGGAGCAATAACCTTTGGTGCAGTGAAAAAACATCAGATCAACTTCGTGATTCGCTTATCAAAATAAAAAATAAAAAATTATACATATATTAATCTAATTTCAATAACTTTCTACATATATTCCTTTTCCTAAAAAAATATTCATATATAGAAATAAAGCAACGACCATTGATGCAGTGAAAAAACACCAGTTTAATATTTTGGGTTCGAGCTCTAGGATCCCCTCTCCTGTCTCTCTTTTTTTATTTAAAAAAAAAAAAAAGTACAAATACCCTTGGACTGATATACAAAAAAAATCATGTGAGGGTAACTCGGATGGTAAGTTGTTCAGTTCCCTATCTAAGAGGTTTGATATTTGACTACCCTTGGGCTTCCTCGGCCTCTAAACCTGAGTTTACAAGTCTAACATTTAAAATGGGTTTTTTTTTTTTTTTTTTTTTTTTTTAAAAAAAAAAAAAAATTATACATACAAATTTATATATTAATAAATTTAGAAATATATAAATTTTTTCTTTGGTAGAAATAAATGTACAAAATATATGTTGTCTCTATGTGCAGATATTGGGGTGATGAGTGGGGCAGTGCTATACATAAAAGACAACCTCAAGATCTCATCAACCCAGGTAGAGATTTTGGTTGGTTCACTGAATGTGTGTTCACTGATAGGATCTTTTGCCTCCGGCAAGACCTCCGACATGATCGGACGGCGATACACCATCGTCCTGGCATCAGCAACATTTCTACTTGGCGCACTCCTAATGGGTCTCGCACCCTCTTTCGCTTTCCTCATTTCGGGTCGTGTTGTAGCCGGAATCGGAGTCGGGTACTCCCTCATGATCGCTCCAGTCTACACCGCCGAGATATCTCCGGCAATGACACGTGGCTTCCTCACCTCACTCCCTGAAGTCTTCATCACCATTGGGATCTTAATTGGGTATATCTTCAACTATTCACTCTCTGGTTTACCAGAGAATATAAATTGGAGGCTAATGCTGGGCCTTGCGGCGGTTCCAGCGATCGCCGTGGGCATTGGGGTCATGGCGATGCCGGAGTCGCCACGGTGGCTCATCATGAAAGGCCGGTTGGACGAGGCGAGGCAGGTTTTGATAAAAACATCGGAAAACGAAGAAGAAGCCGAGTTGAGGCTCGAAGAAATCACGAAAGCCGCCTCGGAAACCGTGGATGCCCCGCCCGAAGGAACTTCTCGGGCCGGCTGGCATGGAGAAGGGGTTTGGAAGGAGTTATTTCTAAGGCCCACTAGGCCCGTTCGCCGGATTCTGATCGCCGCCATCGGAATCAACTTCTTCATGCAAGCATCCGGCAACGACGCGGTGGTTTACTACACACCGGAGGTTTTCAAGGCGGCCGGGATTCACAATCGTAAGCAACTCGTCGGAGTCACGGTGATCATGGGGGTTGCCAAGACTTCTTTTGTTTTTGTCTCAGCCCTTTTCTTGGACCACTTTGGTAGAAGGCCTCTTTTGTTAACGGGCTCAATTGGAATGGCATTTTCTTTATTGGGGCTGGGCTTGGGATCCAAGTTTCTCGAGCATTCGGACCACAAGCCCACCTGGGCCATAGCGTTGTGTGTCGTGGCGGTGTGTGCTGATGTTTCTTTCTTTTCGATTGGGCTTGGGCCCATTACATGGGTCTACTCGTCAGAGATTTTTCCGATAAGGTTGCGGGCTCAAGGGTCGAGCTTGGCGGTGTCGGTGAACCGACTGGTGAGCGGGGTGGTGGCGATGACATTTTTGAGCATTTCAAAAAAGATTTCTTTTGGGGGAATGTTTTTTGTGCTTTCTGGAATCATGGTGTTTGGGACGATTTTCTTTTACTTCTTTTTGCCGGAAACGAAAGGGAAAAGCTTGGAAGAGATTGGGAAACTCTTTGAGGACAAAAGTAGTAGTACCAGCAATGTTAGGGCAAGGGAAATGAGTGAAATATAGTGTAATTAAGATGTTTGACATTAGAAGTAACAGAGTTTTTTTTTTTTTTCTTTTTTTCTTTTTTTTAAAATTATGTACACAGATTCCAAATAAAGAAATATATTTAAAATAAGGTTGATTTCATATCTTAAATAAATCTAAATAATAGGTTTAATATTCTTAATAATTTTATATGAATTCTATGTACTAACATTGTTCTTTTGGTAAAGGTAGTGGCCAAAGGTTATGCAGGTAATCATTTAGGATTTTGTGTTGAAGCTCAGCTCCATATAGTTATGAGTCATACCTAGAGGAATAGGACTTCCTTCAAGGGGTTTATGCCAAACACGGGCTACGTAATTTTTGTTTAAATTTTATTTTTACTTGACAAATTTAAGCTCTAAATATAACTTTTAATAACTTTAGAAACACTAATACTGTGTTTGGTTGGGGGATTTGGGGAGGAATTTGGAAAGGGAAATGGAAAAGGTAGGTGAAATGTGAATAAAACATGCCTATATTTTACCTAGTTTCACATACCTTTTCCCTTTGCCTTTTCAAATCCCTCCCCAAATCCCTCAACCAAACATAGCATAATGTTATGTTTGGTTGGGAGATTTGGAGAGGGATTTAGAAAGGAAAATGGAAAAGGTACGTGAAATGTGAATAAATCATGTCTATATTTCACATAATTTCACACACCTTTTCCTTTTCCCTTTTCCTTTCCAAATCTCTCCCTAAATCTTCCAACCAAACACAGCATAATTGAATCAAGATATTTTACACATGCTACTTGCATTAACTCATATTAATGATCAGTTTATCCGATACCAAATGATGATGTAGAATCAACTATTATTGTAAATAAAATAAAAATTAAAAAATGCAATAATTTAGTTGGTGCACATAGTTGGTCTCTTTGATTTGCTGTGTCATACATTAGGCTGTGTTTGATATTATTTATATTTTTAAATTATTAAATTAAAAGATTTATATTTTTAAACTTAAATATAAAACTACAAAACATTGAAAGTTTCTTTTTTTTTTTAATATAAATAAAATAAAATAATGGGCCAATTACACTAAAGCTCTCTAAAGTTTGAAGTTTGTGTTATTTTGGTCTTAACTTTTTAATTGTGACACATTTGACTCTGAATTTTTAATCTTATTTCAAATAAGGACAATTAAAGATATCATTCCTTAATTTCAATGACAAAATTGTCAATTAAATAAAATATAAACTAATTTGACAAAAATAAATGTCAAAATATATTTTTGAATTTTTAAAAATTATTTCTACCTACTAAAGATAGGACCAAATTAATTTTTATTATGTATTTAGATGATGATCATATGGGTGATTAGTTTCTATTTTTCCAAAAGTCCAATATAACGACAACTTTGATATCATTATTAAACCAATCCATTAAATCAAAAAATTCAAAACTAAAAATATTTCATATATTAAATAAATCGATTACACATTAAAATCCTAACAATCACCCATTACATGATCATCATTCAAACACATAAAAAAAAAAAAATTGGTAAAAAAAAAATGTCTAAAAATTTTATTAATTTTACATAATTTTATCTTTGGTTGGTAGAAATAATTTTTAGAAATTTAAAATATTTTTTGGCATTTATTTTTGTCAAATTAAGTTATATTTTATCAAATTGACAATTTTGCCCTTGAAATTAAGCAATAGTATCTTCAATTATCCTTATTTAAAACAAGATTCAAAATGTAAGGTCAAATGTGTTACAATTAAAAAGTTAAAGGCCAAAGTGATACGAATCTTAAATTACAGGAACTATTAATGTAATTCATCCTAAAATAATTTATAAGTAGTACCAAACAGGCTTAATAACTCTCACCCCACTTTGGCATGATTCAACCGTTTTGGCTCCTTGTTCTTTTCTGGTGATCCATCCATATGAAATGATGTGCTGACTTGAAAGTGTAATTCAAAGTGCAATCTCATCACATGAGTGTTGAACTTGAACAACATAATATTTTTTACAATAAAAAGTCTTGAGATCTTAATTTGTAACATTAATCATTTTTTGGTTCTAATTTTTTAAATTTAATTTTTAATTTTTTTGATTTTTTAAAATATTTTCAGTATTTTTTTTTAATTTTTTAGGTACAATTAATATAAATATAATTAAAAAATATAATATTTATGAAAAAAAATCTTTAAAAAAATTACTAAATACCAAAAATATAAAAATAGTATATTTTCATATTCTTGTGTATTTATTGATTTTTTCAAAAATATATTTTGTAAATATTTTATTTTTTAGGTACATTTCCGTTAGGTGCATTAAAAAAGAAAAAAATGTTTAAAATATTTTAAAGATTCACTAAAAATAAAAAAGTCAATTTTCAAAAAATTCAATTTTCACCTCGTAATAAAAATAGTCTTCCATACTCTATTGAAATATTATTAAATATTTTTGTAGGAGAATATTTACCAATATAAAAAAAAAAATTACATCTAAAAGCTCAACAACTAATTTAACAAATAGACTCCATAGTGGGAAAGAAAAATTCACAAATAAAATTATAATACGAGAGAAATTATCAATCTTTAGTAATGATTGATAATCTCCCAAGTAGAAGTATATAAAGGTGGCCAACTGAAATAGGCTAGTTAGTTGAGAATGAAATAGTATGAAATACTATTTTATATATTCGTATCTTGAGTGGTTGGGTGTTTGAAATCGTTTAAAAAGAAGAGTTTCGAATCATTACTATTTGTAAAATGCTATAAATAATCTATTTTCTTTCTGTATTTTTACACTCGGAAATTGGCCCAGACCCCACTGGGGTGACTCCCAGGCCCAAGTGGGGTGTGATTGGTTTATATTCTTTACACTTTAAGACACAAGTGAATGTGTAATTTATTAATATAGGCTCCATTGTTTTGTGTCTAGTATGTGAAAATACGATTAAAAAAAATATATTATTTATAACATTACTCTAAATATTTAACTTGAATTTATTTTAAGAAAGTTGAAGTATTTAAATTTTTTTTGGTCGACACTGTAGTTTTTGAGATTTTTGCTGCAGTGTTTGGAGACCAATTGGTTACACAATTATTATGGGATTCCCCATCATTGAGTATACTAGCCTATTTGGTTGAAGTTGATAATTAGAAGGGAAAGTTATACGAACACATCGTTTTGCGACTTATTTAGTTGTAGCTTAAAAGATAATTTATTGGCTTAAAAAACGACTTAACTAATTTGACAAACTTAATTTGCGTTTGGTTGTATTTTGTAAATGTGATTTGAGAGTATGAGTTACATTTTGAGTTTGTGAGTTGTACAATTATGATTTGAGTATAGAAAATTTGTTTGGTTATGATTTTTAAATAGAGTGTTGAATTGTGTTTTGAAGATGTATTTTGAATTAAGTTTTGAAAGTTTGATGTGACATGTGAAAGGTGAAAATTTGTTTGGTGATGTGTTTTGAAAATAGTTTTCAAAACTTAATTCAACCAATAATTTATCATCAAACACACAATTCATATATCGATATCCATATTTTTTATCAACAATAATAACCAAACTATTTTTAAAATACTGAAATTAATAATTAATTTTTTTTGTCAATTAATTTTTTATTTTGTAATTTTTTTGAATAATTGTTTTTTCGAAATAATTTTTTCATTTTAAAATAAACCTATGTCAATTATTTTCTGCCAATTAATTTTTCTATCAATTCATTTGTAAAATACGTTTTTAATTTTTTTCTAACATTTTGTTAAAGTCAACAACTTTTGAAAATACATATTAATAAAGAAGGAATAAATACACTAAATTTAATATTTTAAAATACAAATCATAACGTAAATCTTACAAAACATTATCAATTTTTTTTTTCATATATTGCATGTTATGAATTTCGTCCATATGTGGCAACAGAAATGCAATGCATTATTGTACCCGTTGAGCTCATATAATTGTGGGGATTGACATACAAAATGACTATTATGCCCCTCTTGACTTAAATGGAAAGTGGTTACATAGAACAAAATATAAAGGGTAAAGTATTAATTTCACTTACTTACTACCTACCCCCTATTGTTTCATAGCTGTGTGTTCAACACTGAGGCAAAGAAAAAGGAAAGGCTGCAGCTGTGTACTCAGTACACGGATGTGATATCATTAAAAAAGTAATAATATTAAAAGCAAATAATATTTAACAAATAAAAAGTAAATAAAAAAAAAATTCCAAACTGAACTTTTTGAACCTCACCCTTTCTATTAAATCTGAATCTCATTC